CTATTATTTTTGAAATGAAAATTGAAAACAGCTTGAGTTCCCGCTGACTCCCACCATTCTGCCCGCTCCTCAGGAAGACTCCCTGATTAGCCTCGCTGTCACCCAGTAGACCTGTGACTTATGCCCTGAATGCCTTTTTGTCCTGTCGATTTTATCCAAAAAAACAAAACCGGCCGCTTTGGCCACACTCTTCCTTGAGAGAACACCATAGCTCCCTACTGCTCCTCTGCACAGAAGTTCGCTCGGATGACTCTTCTGTTTTTACAGTTGCGTAGGCTCTCTGCTCTAGTCACACAGGGCTCTGTCCTCTGCATCTTCCCTAACATTATTCCTCCTCTTTGATTCTGTGTCAGATTGCCTTTCCTTGCTAGATTCTGGCCACCATATCATAATTGGACTTTTCTTTTACTTATCTCTGTGTTTTTTTAAATTTTTTTGTCGTCATAATCCAAAATGGTATCTGAGGCATGGGCCTTATACCACACCCAAGCTGGTGAGTAGCAGAAGACAGTAACAGTAAGACATCGCTTCTGAGAGTCCCAGGACACCAGCACCACATCTAAAAAGCCACTGAGTGTGGACATACAGACTCACTTCTAAGGGAATTTGGACCTCACACCATAGCAGCTACCAGTCCTGTGGTTTTGTTAAGTGCCAAACTAACACGAATTCATTCTCAGTCTCTCATACGTTTTCAGAAATTTAGTTTCCCAAAGAAAGATTTCTGGGGTCAGGCTGCCTGCTTTTCCATCCTTTTTTTACTTCCCCAGCTACAGCTGGGGTGGGGCTTCGAAGCGGACATCCCTGTCCTCACAGTGCTGGTGGAAATTCCGGAGGGCTGGAGTCCTGGACTGATCAAAGGGAAAATGGAGTCAAGCTCTCCCTCCTGGCTTCAGGTGCCCTGTGAGCGGCTGTCTCAAGCTCCTGCTGTCACGTTCTGCCCGTCCCCAATTTGGGCTCCACCCTCAGACTGGGAGCCAAGACAAACCCTTCCAGAAGGCACTTTTGTTAGCTGTTTCGTCACAGATGAGCTAAGTGACCAACGCACCTGCTTTATTCTGCGGCAGGATGCCTCTACGTAAGAGTGGCTTCTCACACATGGGGGAGTGAGGGGAGCGCCATCTTGCTTTGAATATTGTTTGGTTTTTAAATGCAGAGAATACATCTGCATAATTCAGAGTTAAAAATCTCTGAAGGAATCTGGTAAGATGGCAGCATCTCACATCTGGCTCCACTCCCCCAGTCTGTACTCATTCATCAGGCACCCAAGGGGATTTAGTTTCTTGGAGAAGCTGTTAATTTTTTTTTTTAATTCTGAGATGGGGCTGGCAAGATAGCTCAGTGGGTATGGCTGCCTGTTGTCAAGGGGGAGGAGTTGAGCTTGATCTTTAGAACCCATGCAGTAGGAGAGAATCAACTCCTGCAACTTGTCCCTGGACTTCCATATATGAGTGGTGGTGTGTGTACACACACACACACACACACAGACACACACACAGACACAGACACACACACACAGACACACACACAGACACACAGACACACACACACACAGACACACAGACACACACACAGACACACAGACACACACACACACAGACACACACACAGACACAGACACACATACACAGACACACACACAGACACACACAGACACAGACACACACACACAGACACACACAGACACACACACAGACACACACACACACAGACACACACACACAGACATACACACAGACACACAGACACACACACAGACACACACACAGACACACACACACAGACACACACACAGACACACACACACAGACACACAGACACAGACACACAGACACACAGACACACAGACACACAGACACACACACAGACACACAGACACACACACACACAGACACACACACAGACACAGACACACATACACAGACACACACAGACACAGACACACACACACAGACACACACAGACACACACACAGACACACACACACACAGACACACACACACAGACATACACACAGACACACAGACACACACACAGACACACACACAGACACACACACACAGACACACACACAGACACACACACACACAGACACACAGACACAGACACACAGACACACAGACACACAGACACACAGACACACACAGACACAGACACACACACAGACACAGACACACAGACACACAGACACAGACACACAGACACACACACACAGACACACACACACAGACACACACACAGACACACACACACACACAGACACACAGACACACAGACACACACAGACACAGACACACAGACACAGACACACAGACACACACACACAGACACACACAGACACACACAGACACACACACACAGACACACACACAGACACACACACGTCTCACATTGGTGACAGTCCTGTCTCCCCTCTCCCCTGCTAGAGTTAGGAGTGTACTGCTGTGCTAGGCTGGTGGAGATGAGCTTTAAGAAACATTTTAAAGATGCGTACAAAGAGATAACTTTGTAGTCTTTCTTAAATTAAAAAGCAAGAACTTATAATTTGTAAATTCTATCCTGACCCATATTCTATCTCTTTTTTGTTTTTTTCTTTTTTCTTTTTGAGACATATTCTATCTCTTAAAATCCTGTCTTGAAGCTGGGTGTCATAGCTCATGACTGTAATCCCAGCACTCAGAAGGCTGAGGAAGGAGGATTTCTGTGATTCCAGGAGCTTTTTGGTGAGTTCCAGGCTAGCCTAAAGTACAGTATGAGGCCCTTGTCTCAATAACCTCCTCTAAAGAAAGATCTTAGTTAGGAGATCTTGAATAATTGTCTCCCTGTTCACTTCATTTTCCTTTTTTAGAGCTGCATAATATTCCACCAGATGGCTATATTATTTAAGAGATGCTTTATTCATATATTTCTGATCTCATTCCATCATTACTCTAATGCATATTATATTTTTTGTAAGCTATCCTATACCTAGGTCATTTTGTGTATATAAAGAAGTAACTATAGCATAAATTCTTAGATGTGAGATTGTTGGTCTAAAGGGATCATGCCCTTGTGACTGAAGAGATATTGCCAATTTACTTGTGAATAGAGTTTCAACCCATGCCCCACCAGCCAAGCTCCACCAGCCGCTGAGACCTGCCTCCTCTGCAGGCTTCTGCTTCATGAAGCTTTTACTTGTCAAATAGGAGAACGGCATCCCAGTGGCTTTAATTCTAAAGTTTTATTGTGAGTCATGTGGAGTGTCATTGCAGGGTACACCACTCTCTTGATCGTCAGATTTACACGGAATATGAGTGGCAAGCATCCTTCTGTTGGCCATTGGCCTCACTCAGCTAGCTGTTTTGGTCTACATAGTAGTTCCAGTGTTCAGGAGTAAAGGTTTTCACTTCTTTTTCTTTTCTGGCATCTGGATTTCTGAGCTATTTTAGGAATGGTTCCCGGTCTCTAAAAGAATTCTCCTGTGTTTTCTGATAGCCATCTTGTTGTTGCATTCAACAAGTTCTTGTTTTACTCATCATCTTGTGTATGTGTATGTGTATGTGTCTGTGTCTGTGTCTGTGTATGTGTATGTGTATGTGTATGTGTATGTGTATGTGTATGTGTATGTGTATGTGTATGTGTACAAGTGTGTAGTGCATGTGTAATCCAGAGAGTAGCTTTTGGGAACTGGTCTGCTCTTTCCACCATGTGGGTCCTGGGGATTGAACTCACGTTGTCAGGCTCAGCAACAAGCACCTTTACTTGCTGAGCTATTTTGCCAGCCCATATTTGAGGGTTTGCTTCATATGAAGATGGACCTGGCGTGTGGCATACCATGCAGCTTACCCACTTGTCATAATACCAGTCACTGAGAAAAATGTGTCTCCCCCACCACAAACCCTTCAATCCTTCATAGGACAAATTCCTCTGTGTGTTTAAGACTATTTCTTGACTTTATTATCTGTTACATTAGCCCATACCATTATTTATATACCAGTACCGTGCAATTTAAAATTCAGACATTTATTATTCTTTTTTTTTTTTTGGTTTTTTGAGACAGGGTTTCTCTGTATTGTTTTGTAGGCTGTCCTGGAACTCTCTCTGTAGACCAGGCTGGCCTCAAACTCACAGAGATCCGCCTGCCTCTGCCTCCTGAGTGCTGGGATTAAAGGCGTGCGCTATCACTGCCCAGCTCATTATTCTATCTTAATGGCAGTATACCAATATGTCAATTCTTAAATACCAGGGTCTGCTAATGTTTTCCTTCTTCTCCAGAATACTCTTGGAGGATTGTAAAATAATGCTTTAGACTTACATCGATGTGTTAAATCTAGGAATTCCCTTCAAGGGTGCTGTGATAACGTGGTTTATCTGGTTCTTCTCCCAGTCCTCTTCTGCGTCCTCCAGGGCTGTCTTCAAGGTTTCTCTTTCCTTCTAGAGAAGAAAGACGAATATCGCACATTGCTCTCACAATGCAGCCCAGACTTATAGATACAGGGATGGACATGACATGGCAGCATGAGAGGGAGCACTTACATACAGCAGGAGGGGCCAGGACTTTGGTGAGAGACACAAGTGGAAGGGGTTTGATAAGAAGAGTACAATGGTATGCATATGTACAGATATCACTATGGAAATCTATTATTTTGTGTGTTAATAAAGACAGAATGCTAGTTTTGTCTTTAGGACACTTAAGTCTTGTCCCATGTGAAGATGAACTTTTGGTTGTTTATGTTTTTTTCCTCCTATGGTTTCCATGGTAAGTGGAGTCCTCCTCACACTTGCATCTTTTGACTGAGTCTATGGCATACTAAATATTCTTATTGCTAAGGTAGTGTTTCTGTTGGTTTTCCTGAGTTTTCTGGCATATCATCATAGAACCTCTGAATAGTGATTTTTAAATTTTTAGTTAAATCTAATTACAACACTCCCCTCCCTTCACGTCCCCCCTAGGGTGAATGTTGGTATTTTACTTTTTTTCTCCTCAATTTTTTCATCTCTACTTTCTTGACCTTCTCTAGGAAGTTCACGGAATGTCTCTATTGTGACACACGTGCCAGATGAGGTCTCTGCAGTGGCAGACTTTGGAGAAGTTTCACCAGAAGCACAGGTATGTCTAGAGGAACAAAGTTGAGACCTTGGAACCTTCCGGGTAAAGTTCACTGTTCTAGAAATGTCTACTGTAGGCTGAGTTGGCCCAGAAGGTACAGGAGTCAGGAATGGAAGCTCTGAAGAAGACCTCACCACAGGGCTCAGAGAGGGTGTCAGGGTTGGAGCTATGATGCTTGACCCAATTCTAGAAGCCTTGGATGTGAATTTGGGAAAATACGGCTATGGTATGTGTTCACCTGTGTGTATGTGCATGTGTGTATGCGCACACGTGTACTTTCCTTTAGGTATGCATGGAAAAAGTAGGCTTTGACTTCTAACATTTGAAGTTTGGGTTCTTACCCTCTTCCAAGGCATGTACTGGGTACAGTTCTCAGGGAGGGAGTCTTTGCATGGGCCACTCTGTCCTGTGACTTCCAGGAACATCTTTCCTAGTGCCCTGGTACTGGAGGTGTGCTGCCTAGACACAGAGACACACAGGCCAAACCTAGAGAAGACTGAACAGTGCGCATGAGCGTCTTCATCTGCAAGCTGCCAACCTGCAGAGCTCCAGAGCTGACCTCTTCAGCTCTACCCACTCCCAGGCGGTGGTCACAGTGGACGCCACACAGAGTCCTCTTGTGGCAGCCACACTGGTCAGTGTTTACTATGTGTCCACATATGGCAGGGAGGAGAAGGAGAATATTATTACTAGCTGCTAAGGCTGGAGGACAAAGAGCAGTTTTACAAAGAAATACCTGTAAAATATCAAGGAGAAAAGGACAAGAGGTCCTAAAACCAAAGACATTTATACTGCAGCAGAAGATGAACACCGTTGCTGCTCACCCTGACCTAATGTTGGTTCAGGTGATGGCCTGGAGTTTGGTCAGGACCTTGAAGTCCTTATCCAGTCTGGCTGTGGAACCATGGGTGCTGTAGCTGACTCACAGCTTCATTGCTGTTCAGATTTGCTCAGCAGGGAAGAGAAAGTTGGAGAGAGTGAGACAAGACAAGATGTAACGTCCTGAGATTACAGTCCCACTAAGTCCCACATAGAGAGTCCACCCAGAAGGGGAGAGACGATGGAAAGACTGTCCCAAAGAACGCAAACCATCCCCCAGTATTCAAACTTCACGTCTGAGTCACTGCCTTTTTAAACAAATAGTATTTTCAGCTAGCGTACAAAATAATAGGTTTCCTCATAACTTTTTTTTTATCAGTGCATACCATTGTAGTTTGCTTGTCTCATGACCCCCTGCCCCATTGTCCCCTATCCCAGCTCCTGCTGGGCCCCTTACACCATAGTCCCTCTTCTGCTTTCATGCCACATCTGTACCTGCAAGTCTAGATTCCAGGTGTGGGAGTGGACACACTGTAGTTATCTTCCTTCCCCAGCCCTGCTGCCCTCCCCCTTTCCCTTACTGCCCTCTAGATCATTGCTCCCCCTTCATAGTCCCCCTTCTACCTTTGTGACATTCAAACATAGATACACATATTTACATGGCTTATGCTGTATTATCTATATCACGTAGATAACGTTTAGATCGATATAAGAGGAAAAATACAGTGTTTGTCTTTCTGAGTCTGGCTTACTTCAAAACTCTGATCTCCAAATCTGCTTTGATGCCTACATGAGAGTCCACTATGTGTATAGACCAGATTTATCCCTCCTGTTGATCGGTGGCTACGTTGGTTCCACATCTTGGCTATTGGGAATCACAATCCTTCACTGAGTGAACCCAGAGATGGCGCGTCAACTTCGGACTTTGGGTCCTTGGGATTCTGACGCACAGCAGGCAGGAAATTTGTGCACCCAGCGGCCATGCAGTGAGCTCAGGAAGGACAGCCCTTGAGTTTGCATAATTTTTTTAATACACTTGAGAAGGAAAGTTCTAGAAATCAGAGTAGGCTGGACAGCTGAGGACTTTGAGATGTAGGAGAAACATGCCTTTTATGTCACCCCTTCCAGTCAGCTCAGTGGCTATTTCTTGCTCTTTCTGATGAGACAGGGTGTACTCAGGGTGACACGGCCATGGAGTCTCCCTCTTCTGCATTCATTTTGCCACGGGAAACACAGTAGGCCCAGGATGTGCAGCGGTAAACTCTGGTTTGACCGTATTCTGTTTCTCATGGGGAAGCACAGTTGCTAAACCCATGACATTGGCCAGAAGCTGTGCCGGTAGCAGCCCTCCCAGGCAGCAGATGTGCGATCCTTGGTTCTCAGCCCTGATGCGGTGTGTGGTAAGTAAGAATGAAAAGAGCCAGGAGGCCTGGTCCAGAGTCGTCCACTCTGGCCCTGGGTCAGGATGGGGAGTGCTTCTGGAGCCTCTGCAGGTCCAGCTGCTTCCCTCGAATCTCCATGCAGTGAAGTCTGGGCTGGGCCAACAAATGTATCATGTCCAGATAGTGTAGTAACCACTGATCCAGATGGCCCTTGGCACAGGCACTACACAGCTGTGTGACCATTGGCAAATCCTTCTCAATTCCCTGGACTGCGGTTTTGACAATGACTTGGGCTTGGAGGGATCAAACTTTGGCTATAAACCAACACCTCCCAGGGAGTGTTAGAGACACAGATTCCCAGGGCCGTAGAGATGGCTCAGTGGTTAAGGTCAGTGGCTGCTCTTCCAGAGGACCAGGGTTTAGGTCCCAACAACCACATAACAGCTCACAACCATCAGCAACTCTAGTTCCAGAGGCCTCTTTGGGCCTCCTTGGCACTGGGCCTTCATGTGGTGCTCAGACACACATGCAGGCAAAATACCCACATATATAAAATAAAACAAATACATCTTTTAAAAAAAAGAAATACAGAAAATTCAGTCCCATGACAAACCTCTTGGACTGGAATCTCTGGGACCCAGGTTTGGGGACCTAAAGCTTTAGGGGGTTTCTGGGAGGTCCAGATGCAGCCCTCACTGGTTAGATCCACTTGGAGTCAGTGATGGTCTGGGTCCCCTTCACACCTGATACACCTGAATAATTAGCCATACACTCAAGAGGCTAATCTTACACTGAGTGTTAGCAGCTGCCATGATTTGCTTGCATTCTGTCTGTCTGTCTGTCCGGTATCATCCTTGCAGGTATGTCTGGTAGCCTGTAGGCTGCAATGTAGCTGCAGATGTGATACACCACAAAATTGTAGACTTCCTTAAAATATTATGTGGCTCACACACATGCGTGTGTACGTGTGTGTGTGTGTGTGTGTGTGTGTGTGTGTGTGTAACATGGGGAAGAGTGTCACAGTGGGTTATGGATGTGGCCGGGGTTCTGTCCTGCTCTTGGGGGATCCAGGGGTGAAGTCCCAGCCAGGGGTGAAGTCCCAAGGCTCCCTCCCTGTCACATTCCCATGGTTCACCTTGGGTGCTTGGATGGTGGCACATCATATCTACCTTAAAGTTGACACTCTCTGTTGCTTTTCTTCTTGTGACAAAACACCATCAAAATCAATTTAAGGAAAGGAGAGTGCATTCTGGCTTTGAGGGGATGCAGCCCACCATGGCGAGGAAGGCCTGGCAGCAGGTGCACAAGACAGCTGATCACACGGCCAGGAAACAGAAAGCAACAGAAGCAGCTAGCTAGCTATTCAGTGTGCTGGTTCTTTGAGCAGGACCCCAGTCCCTAGAACGACATGTCCCACAGTTAAGGACGGAAGTCTCATCTCAGCTAATCTCCTCTAGAAACTCCCTCTCAGACATGCCCAGAGATGTGTCTCTAAGGTTTAAATGCTGTCAAGCTGATATCAGTGTTAAAGTCCACACCCTTGTGCTTATGACACATTTACACACATTGTCACGGTGAATTTATTTGCAGTGAGTTTCTCATTGGCTTTGCAGGGTGCTGAGGTAGAAATTCATACTTTAGTGTCTTTGGCCAGAAGCACCGATGTCGTCTCCTCCCTGGGAGCTGGCTGTGCTCTGCTCCTCGTCTCACTGGATTCAGCGAGTGTATTTCTTAGGCCAGCGTTTTCTTCCTGCTTCTCTCTGCTGTAGAGTTTTGTGTTGAGCTGACAGCAGCAGCTAGTGAAATGATGTACAAAGCAGGATGCACTTAGAAGAGGGGGTTAGAGATGCTTATGCAGCTGCCCCTCAGTACCCGAGGAGGGATGGACCAAGGACCCTTGCGACCACCAGCATCCAAGGCGGCTTGAGGCCTTGTGTAAGATGGCGTTACATTTGTGTACGATCTCTGTAACCCTCTGGCATGCTGTAGTAATCTCTGGGTTGCTTGTCACACCTATCTCGTGGAAGTGCTCTGTAATAGTTGTTATATTGTATTGTCTAGGAATAATGGCAGGAAAAAGTCTGCATCTACTCAGGACAGTTCTTTCCTTTTTTTTTTTTTTGTTAAATCAGTGTCTCATTGTGTATCTCTGGCTGTCCTTGAGCTCACAGACCTGCCTTTTCCTCCTGAGTGCTGGGATTAAGGTAAATGCCACCATGCTTGGCCCAATAATTATTTAATTAATTAATTTGAGGCAGAAACTTTCTGCATAGATCTGGCTGTCTGGAACTCACTATATAGACTAGGCTGGCCTCAGATTCATTCAGAGATCTGCCTGCCTCTGCCTCCTGAGTGATGATGGATTTAAGGCATGTGTCACCATGCCTAGTTATTTATTTATTATTTTATTCTGTGTGTGCCCATGGCATGGCATGTATATAAACATCAGAGGGGGAAACTCGTAGGAGTCAGTTCTCTTTTTCTACTATGTGGGTCCTAGGGATTGGACTTAGGCCTTCAGACTTTTTGGCAAGCTCCCTGGCCCACTGAGTCATCTCATGGTCCTTCCTGAATGTATATGATCCATGGTTGGTTCAGCCCACAGCTGTGGAATCCAAGGACTCAGAGGGTCAACTGTGTATCCACAGCCCCAGCAACAGCAAATTTGCAGCAATGGTGAACGTCTACACAGTGCTTTTTTAGAAGCCATCTCAGCCCTTTCATTTGACAACGTGGGCCTTCAATGGCAGTGACTTGCCCATAGATAACATAAAACTAAGGATTCAAGGTGTACCATTCATTCTCAGTGGCATTTTGCATGTTTATGTGCAGGTATCAGCTCTTGTGCGTTTTAAGCACCCCCAAAAGGAAACCCTGTGAATATATGTCTCAGTAGATTTACCTATTCTGGAAACTTAACATAAGTAGAATTGTTCAACAGGGAATCTTTTGTGTCTGGCTTCTTTCACTTAGCAGAATGTTTGTGAGGTGCATCTGTATTGTGGTATATGTTAGCACTGCATTAATTTTTATGGCTAAATAATATTCCACTGATGGACATACCACATTCTAAGAACCCATTTGTTCTCAATATTTGTTCATTTTGACTAGCACTGCTGTAAACGTTCATGCTTAAGAATTTAAACACTAGTTTATTTGAGTGTGTGTGTGCACTAAGTATGGATATGTACGCCTGTGCATATATGCAGAAGCTGGAATAGAACATCAGGACTCCTGCTGTAACACTGTCCACCTCATTCCTTTGAGACAGGGTCTCTCTCTAAACCTGGAGCTAGGTTGGTGGCCAGTGAACCTCAGGGGTCCTCCTGTCTCCACCCTTCATAGTGCTGGGATTATTACAGGTGCCCATAGTCTGTGTGGCTTTCTTACACAGGGAATTTGAACTCAGGTCTTCACGACTGTTCAGCAAGCACTCTTCACCAGCTAATCCATCCCTCTGACATCCTAAATATTCGTTTCTAATTAATTTGTCTATGTAACGGTTCAGTTGCCAAATCAAGTATTGATTCCATGTTTAACTTTTTGGGGACCCTTGCAGCTCTTTTGAGTGGACTGAGTCCCTCCTGGCACTGAGGACTCTGATGTGCGCCTCCTTCCCACTGAGAGCATCTGACTTAGGAGGTGGGAGGAAAAGGACGGGGCTGGGGAATAAAATTAAGGTGCTGCTCTAGTTTGCTTGAGTCGCTAGCCAGGTTCAAAGTGTGGGGTCCTCCATGGGGATCCCCAAAGTCTGTCATATCATCCGGGGCAGGGCCTAGGCCCTCCCCTGTGTGTCCAGGCTGAGAGAGCATCCCTCCATGTGGAATGGGCTCCCAAAGTCCATTCGTACACCAGGGATAAATACTGATCTGTTGCCCCAGGCCCCATAGATTGTCAAGGCTGGGGAGGATGATTTTATAAGAACTGTGCTCCAGCCCAAAATACAGAGAGTAAATGACAGTTGTGGGCCCAGCCCTAAAATGCTTCTTATGCTGCTCACTCAAGGCTCAGGGAACATTCCAGAAGTGGGGATGGATGCTTTGTTGATAACCATGGGGGGCCCTGCCCCTTTTTGAACAGAAACAGAGGGGGAGTGAGTGGGGGTAGGAGCTGGGAGAGGTGGAGGGAGGGAAGGAGAGGAGGGAGGAGAAACTGAAGTTGGGATGTAAAATAAATGAAAGAAATTTAATTAATAAAACTATAAAAAGTACATAAGAGTCAGATGAGGTGGTAAAGACTGTGAAGTGTTGTTCTCTAGACCTGATACAACTATTACAATCCCTGGCTCACATCAGCTCTATTGCCCACACTGGGCTCACGGCATCGTGCTCATGCTCAAGTTGGGAAGGAGCTCAAAGGTGTGACCAGCAATGAACTCCTCCTCACCCAATAAAGACCATTTTAGAAGACTTTCTCTTAAATGGCAGGAATAACATTGTATCACACAACCAGAGCCACGCTGGACAGGAGCTAGGAGGGTGTGCGTTCTGTTAGGAAGTGAGAGGGGAGACAGGGGGGACTTGGTGTCGGGCGAGGCCACCATCGGCGTCTATCCTGCTGTCCTCTTCTCCATTTTCTTGTTCAGACGCAAAGGTGCCTTCCCCATTTATACTCATATGTTCTTATATTGATTTCAACACAGATACACTCTCACGGAGGACAGGGAGTACTTGTTTTTGTGTCCCTCTTCTCTTCCGCCCAGATCAGAAGCTTCTCAAGAGCAGAGACCACATCTAGTGTCTCCTAGAGCAGCCAGAAGTGGTCCCTCAAACAAACTCAACTGGAAGTTTGAGTAGTTGCAATAACTTGAACTAAGCACTGCACTTTGCTGCCCACTAAAAGCTCCCTTCACAGTTTTATCCACTAATGTTTTAGAGATACAGACAGACACTACAACCAACACCTGAGTGTGTCTTACCATTTGCAAAGCATGTGATAACACCCCCAAGACCTCAGCATTCTTCAAGGCCTGCCCTTTGAGCACTCAATGTCCCCTGAAGTTGGTGCTGTCATTATGCTTGCCATCACCAATGGGACTTTCTTTTTAACTCGATAAGAAACCACATTGGAAGCTGTGTACTCATTCTTAGAGAAGGTCAGTTTCTTGTGTCCAAAGATCAACTATGTTGTAGAAAAACTGGGATAGGAACCTTGAACCTAAGAACCCTAATGTGAACCATTTGCTGTGCTGTTCCCAGACTAGACTACATTTCCTTCCTTAACTCCCTCAGGGTCTTCAGTTTAGTTGGGGGTTATGCTCCAGGGCATCAATTTATTACTTTAAAAGTTTAGTTGGCATATAATAATTGTATAACAATGGGCTACACGGAGGAGTGAGAGATGGCTCAGCAGCTAAGAGCACCGGTTGCTCTTCCAGAAGACCTGGGTTCAATTCCCAGCACCCACATGATAGCTCACAATTATTTGTGACTCCAGTTCCAGGGGATCCATCCAATGCCTTCTTTTGGCTTCCATGGGCACTGCACACACGGTGCACAGACATGCATGTAGGCAGAACACACCATACATACATTAACACAAACACAAACAAAAACCCCAGCCAGTGGGCTTCTTCATGACATTTTCATACATGTGCATAATGGATTTGTCATTGTCACTGTCCTCTTTATCATCGAGTCCCCTCCCACTTGTGCTAAACGCCTTTCTCTTCCCGACTAGGATCATGACAACTTGTTTTTTGCACGTCACCCTTCATTCTCTGGGCCTGGAATCTGGAGCACTCACTTAGATGAACCTGAGAACCTGGGCAGAGAATGAATTGATGACCGTTGATCTTGTCAGCTGTTAGGCTCTGTGACTGAGTCCCCTGAGAAAGCTGCTCTTAAACAGGACCAGAAGATCCAAGGCCCTTTCTACAGCTGGATCTGCTGACCAGTGCTGGAGTGAGTCTGCTGTAGCCAAGGCCCAGCCCTTCAGCCCCATCCACGGAAACCATCTTGGGATCCATCCTCTGCGTTGAATGATGGTTCCTTCATCTTTAACCATGTTGGCTGTGGTTCCAGCAGTAGGGCTTTCTCTAGCTTCGCTTCAAAAGCTCTTTGTGGTTTACCTGCCCTTTGGTCTCCCTGTCTTTGGTGACATTGGGCCAATCTGAGTTGACTTCAGTCCTGCCAAGGCTCTATCTGGGATCTGTCTACTTGGACCCTCTATAATGAAGAACCTCAGACAAAACAGAACTTCAGCCCTGTGAAAATGTTCACCAGCTTTAGAAATAAAAGAAAAAGATTTCCATGTAGCTCCACCCTGTCACTAGCCAGCCTTGGGCATCCTTGGGCTTTATTATTGAAAACTAACCATCTTCACACAGTGCCAAATATCTAAAGGAAAACTCAACTGTGTGGATGTTCATTCTCAACGTTGTGCAATCCAAACAGTTGGCCCCAGAGAGAATCTGGCATCTGTGTGTATTTAGCACACAGACACCCAAACATTTGGACAAGGAATAGAAAACTCAGCAAACAGGGAATTCTGGCATTTGTAGAAGGGAGAGTTGCAAGGCTGAGGAGTCCATAGAGGGTTTCGGGCTGGTGTGGACAGCCCCAGCATCTCTGAGAGCAGTTGACTCTGATGAGAGACCCATCCCAGCCTGATGAAGTGAGGACAGGCGGCGGGTCAATAGGGTCAATACTCGCCTCCCTGTGTGACCTCTCTGTCCTTTCTAGCTTCTGGGCTGAGAAGCATGTGTCAACTTGCAGAGCCCCCAGCAATCAGATTTCTCGGCCCTGGCTTACCTTAGAAGGCAAAAACAAGTTCTTTGTTCCAACATACCACAGCTACTTAGATGTGGAAACTTAGCCTTCTTAAGATCAAAATCCTATGACTTGCCCTGTCTCCTACTTTATTAGAAAGCATGTGGCCCTACAGTTAGCATTGTTGGGTTAGCTAGAAATGTACCTATCTTAAGAAAGGTGACAGCCAGCCAGGAGCTAGCATATTTGGCCTGAAGTTGGCACACAAAGAACTATACACAAGGCAGACTGTTTTGCAAGCTTTGGCCTTCATTCCTTTTCAATGGTGGTAGGCGGAGAAGGGTCTAGGCTCTCTGAGCTATGTGCCTCTTCTCACCTAAATGGCTCCAAAGAAATAATTTGCCTTTGTTCGGCTAAGACTGATTGGAGTGATAGGGTCTTCCTATGCAAGGCTCTATGAGCCTCAACCTTCCTGCCTCTGTCTCCTGAGTGCTGCAATGCATAGTAAGTTCAAGGCTAACTCGAGCTGCCTAATGAGACTGTCTTAAAAAGTAATGAGCTGGGAGTATAACTCGGTGGTTGAGTGCAAAAGTGCAAGGCCCTGAGTTCAAGCTCCAGCACAGTCATGAAGAAAACTAGAAGAAAAATTCACACGGCTTCTTGCGATGTAGGTATAACTGGAATGTTGCTTCCCTTATCCTGTCCTTCCTTTTCATTCTAGGCTGAAAGAATTCTGTTTCTCAAAAGGTGCATTCTTTCCCCAAAACATCAACAAACCCTGTTGCCTTTGAACACAGGAATCAGAGCAAAGCAAACAAGCAAAGCAGAGAAACCCGTAGTGACCGTGGGAGGAACTTGGCTCCCAGCCTTGAGCTGGTTAAGCTGGTGGAGCCCTCAGGTCAGGTGCCTCTACAGTCTCCAGCAGAGCAGCGCCTCCTATTGTTAAAGCCCTTACCTTTTCTTTCACAACCCCAAGTCTTCCAGCTTGCTGACCCGCCCAGCTTAGCAACTCCGTCCTCAAACATTTAGTACCCATGTGCAGTCCTTGCAATCTGCAAGCTGTCTGGAGTTGCATTTCTGGGTTAATGGAGCCATGTTTATTACACCACACATGACAGAAGGAAGCCATTTCCACCCAGTCTCTTTTCTTTAATTAAAAAAATTAGTTCTTATATGAACACTTTGCCTGAATATGTGTCTGTGCACCACATATATGCCTGGTGCCTCCAGAACCCCAAAGAGGGCATTCGATACCCTGGAACTGGAGTTATAGACTGTTGTAAACTGCCATTTGGGTGCCAAGGACTCCAGCCCAGTTCCTCAGGAAGAACAGCCAGTGTTAACTGCTGAGTTACCACTCCAGCTCGGGCCTTTTTATGATGGGAAAAACGCTCCCGGACCTTCCCACCCCAGATTTCCCCATCAGCTCCTCCATGGGCAGGGGCTCAGGTAGGAGAACTGGGTGAGGCTCTCAGAGCACACATTGCTGCACCTGGGCGACTAGGGATCAACCTGATTTGCCCTGTGACGTTCCCTCTGAATCTCTCCTGCTAGAGTTGTCATTTTCTCCTTCTGTCACCTGCTCTTATGTAAGCCAGTATCAGGGTGAACCTCCCACAGGCAAAGCAAATAGCTCATCTTGGCTTGACCCTTCAACTTCCTCAATTCCAGGGGTCTGGTGCAGACAGGGCCACTGTGGTCTCCGGTCCCCAAGCCCTCACTTTTTGCATTCTGTCCCCTACACCTGGGCCACCAGACGTGACCACGGTTGCTCCTTCATTGCCAAGGACCCATGCACTGGGGTCAAAGGCGTTTCACAAAGCAGTTGCCTAAGATACTCCCCGGAGCTGACTCCTGCTTCCCCCTACCTTGCCAGGTGTCCCTCGTCCTCTGCTTCCATTTTGCCCTCACCTGCACCGGCAGCCCTGGTTTTCCTATGCTCCTGGCCTCCTGGCCCTCAAGACTCAACCATCCAGCCCTGGGCTCTGCAGAGCTTATTTCCAAACGGGGCTGAGTGGAAAGGGTGTGTCTTCCTGGATCTTTGTTCTACAGGGGTGTAGGGTGGAGAAGAGAAAACAGACCTGGGATTCAAGTACCAGAGAAGAGGGGACAGAAATACACGTGGTTCCACAAGGGTACACAGGGTCTACACTGCATAAATCCGGGGTCTTATTCGAATAGGATTGTGATGTGGAAAATGTCTCCACTGAGCTCCGTTTTCTTCCACTGAAGGCAATATGGAGAGACTGACACACTTGAATTCTGAAGGTCACCCACGAGTCACTTCAGCTGCGCCACTATGCCATTGAATAGCCCAGAACAGCTCCCTCACTGTCCCTGGGACCCCATTCCTTGTTTAACAACTGAGTTGATAGCGCTGTTGTTACAGAGTTGCTTCAAGGATACAATGAGATCTTATGCTGGCTTCCTGGCATGTGTCCGGTGCTGAACTAATAATGTCACTGTCTCAGAAGCATTGTCCTGCTGTAAGGACTGTTTACCCCTCTTACTATTGGCCCTTTTAATGTAAAACAATCCTCAGAACCTCCTAGGAGACACTGAAAGAAGATGGGGGAGAGGGTGAGATTGTTCTCGGAGCTACTTGAAGAGAATCACACATCTACCAAGGTGCACCGCTTTCTAGAATTTTTAACAAGTGTCTCCCACTCTTCTGAAAACCATCTCCAGGGGAACAGACATCCAAGACCTGTAAACCTTCTGTCTCTCTAATAAATGGGAAAATATAGTTTCTCTGTTATTCCTAATGTTTAGCAATTCTGTATTTAGATTTCTAGGTTCTAGATCTGGCCTTTTCTAGATATTTTTGTTTATTCTTTTCCTTCCATCTCGCCATCCCTCCTTCCTCCCCCCTCCATGTCTCTCTCTGTCTCTGGATGTAAATCATGTCTTATGCTTCAAGACAAAAACTCCATAGATTGTGCTCTTTTCCCAGCTCTTATGCAATGCTTCAGAAGAAGTTTATACTTTGGTATGCATTCTGGGGTTTGGGTGCATCTTTATTGTCGTGTTCTATACTTGACAACATTGTAAAATATGTAGCAACTTCTTAGGCTTCTTGTAATGCCTGTCTATGTCCATTCTGGAAATTAAAGAAGAGGACACAGGCTAGTGTGGTGCGAACTACAAGATATTGGAGTAGCATAGGCCTGACTCCTTTGAGTCTCCACGAGATGGCGCTCTCTTCTTAGGAGAAAGGGACCTTTAAAGAAAACTACTGCGGAGCCAGCTGCCTGAGGGCTGGGCTCCCGTTTGCCTGCTCTAATCCATTGCATTTGTGCAGCTGGCTTGAGTTAGGCAGCAATAAGGCCAAAATAAGTGGTCTTATACCTTATAAATGTGTCTCTGTGACCATTTGTGTCAGCATTAATTGCTGCCAGTGCTAGGGACAGGAAGGGAGTAGAATATACACAGCCCAAGGGCGAGCCTAAACTGATGGTGAATCTTGTGTTTGGAGACTAAGGGGAGGACATTAGAACTGATCCTGCAGCTCTATGATGCGACCAAATGGCTCTCCACAGTCCAGACGGAAGATGTATGATGTGTCTGAGACCCCTTTGTAGATTCTGAGTTCTTGGCCTTCCCTTGTCCCTCCTGGTTGCTCTACACACCATCGATCCACGCTGACAGTGAAACCCTGTGAGTTCTGGAGACTGCGGTAAGTCAACACTTCCATGACCGCTTGCCGAGCTAACGGCTACTGGTGGAGCCCCAGAGTCCTCATCTGCGCAGACACACTCGGTCCCGCTTTGGCAGCCTTCCCAGTGGCATTCCTCTGCTTAGGGGTTTCCGTTTTCCTCCGATGCCAACGGCCTGGGTGCCTGAACGTTTCCTCTGTTGTGCCCGCCCAATGCTGCAGGTCAAGTCCCCTCACCAGGAAACCAAGAGCCCTCATTGAGCATGGCAAGTATGCTCTTTGTACCCCCTTTCTATAGATTCTGTAATTGGAAAGTGGGCTAGTAAGGAGTTTTGTGAGATGTCGCTGTTCTCTCTGCTAAGTGTGCTGCTGTGATGGTTGCTTTAGTCCACACGGCAGAGTCAAGAGCAACAAGATGGCCTCACCTCACAGACTGTGGCCAGGCCAACACCCTCCCCAGACAGTCGTGGCCTGGCTGCTCAAGTCTCACTGTGCTGCTTCGGGGGAAGCAACCGTGTCAGGACACTGACACCTCTTCCTCATCCTTCTCTCTAGTTAGAGAGTGTCAGGGTATGGGAAGGCTCACAGAGTGGTGTATGTTCCCTCAAGGGGAACAGATTGCGTTTGAATGCCTAAGGGAAACATGAAGCCGGCATGAGGAACAAAAATATTTAAGGTTGTTGACAGTGAAGAAGAAAACCACCCGGCCTTTTAGCCACTCACTGTCCAAGCTTTCTCCAGGCACGGGCATGGAAAATTTGAGGCTAAGTCAGTAGGTCCATCTGTAATACCATCCATCCTGCTGCGAAAGGCTCACTTACAATGCTACCATCCCTCTCCTAATTTTGCCACAGAGCTCTCTTGTCTCAGCTCAAGCTCTTGATCCGCTTT